TTACTAGTGTTATGTTACAATAAAATATACTTGATTTTTATAATGATTTCTAAGTTCTTTTTCAATTAATAGAGTTTTGTAATTAATAGAGTTTTTATGTTTTTCGATATACTACAATATATTTAATATAATGTAAGATTATAACAAAGAACGAAAATGAAATTTGAAGAAATAAATATTCATTTATGTGTTCTTTTTTAAAATCGATGATAATTTTTAGAAAATAAATAATAAATATAAAAAATATGTATATAAAAATGTTAAAGTAAGCAATGATAATTATTCTAACGAAATTCACGAATAATCTAAAGGTACAAAATTATATAGATGGACGAATACTTATAAATTGCAAATTAAAAGTTTCTTATTCTAACTATTTTTATATTTATTTTTAAATTTTGTACTCTAATTCTGTATTTTCTTTTTTTTCATTCCTTGCATAAAACTATTTAAAATTTAACCAACAAATTTCATCATACATTTATAATATCGATACACATACTTGAGAATAGTCATTGACTACGATCTTTACACTAGCTTTTTATTCAATATCGAAAAGGAAAAATGGAAATTTATTGACGATAGAATAGCATAGTCTATATGCGCCTATTGGTTATCGAAGAATGTTACAGTCGCGTGTCGATCCATTCGATATTATTGTTACATGCAACACGCTTGAATTGCGTAATATATAGACTTCTGTACATTCGATTTATATCGACCTCGCTGTATCAATTTTTCATCTTCGACAATTTATGTCAAAACAAATACCTGAGGAATTTTTACAAAAATTTATATCGCCTCGTAATTCTAATATTGTTATATCATTTTCATTAATCTTACTATCATTTTGCTATCGATGTACACCTGTACAACTCGTTTCAACAATTATCATATATGCCCAATTCTCAGGATGAGTATATTATATCCATTTTATTAAATTGGGGGAAAAAATACAGGAATGGTCTCAGCTATCACTCGATGGCTCAAATAGAACAAATTGTCAAATCTAATACCTCAATTTTGTTTCCCAATCCAAGTCACTAAGTTTTGCTTCAGTAAGTTCATTGCGATAATAATAATTTGCAAGATGCAGATAACACGTTGATTTTTTTTTTTCTCATCCACAACGTATCAATCTCAACTCGGTGTTCTCTAGTTCGCCAAAGACATCAATCGTGTGCATGTATTGTATGTACGTAGGTGTGCAACGGCATGGGAATGCAGGCATGCATCGAAATAAAGCACTTAACAACGAATAAATCGAGCGAGAATGTGCCATAAAAATTTAGAAGCCATCATTGTGCATTTTACAGCCGCATTAACCTCCTTTTCGGTGGATTAGCCACCATGCTATATTAATGAGGAATGCTCGTTCAAATATATTCATAAAGCACTTTAACGCGTAGGATTCGACAATTTCCGCGAAATCTTCCGGAAACATAAAATCTAATAAAACAATAGTGATAATGAAGATTCACGATCAGCTAGAAATAAACGTGATTCGTAATTTTCCACTTTACGAAATGCTTTCAAAACCACAAGCCCTGTTCAATTATATGAAACCACTTATCGCATCAAGCGCATAAAAATTTACAAATTTTTTTAAACTTTTAAAAATGCAATATCAAATCTCTGTACATTTCCCATGATCACTTGCAAAGAACTCTTCTACTCTTTCCTTTATTCCCAATCCAAAGAATTGAGAATTGAAGAGAAATAAAACGACGAACTTCATCAAACTTCAACCTTTCCTCGAGCGGATCTTCGTAAAATCCAAAACATTTTAACCTTTCGTCCTTCATTCAACATTTTAACTTTCGTTCCGGAAATTTTCGCTCGATCTTCGCAAGAAACGAACGTCCATCGATGCGAATCGTTGTTTTTCAAACACACGTGGAACACATCAAGCATACTTGCGCGCTGTCTCGTGCACACCGAGCATGCGAGAGAAGGACGAGGATGGGCAATAAAAAGAAAGAATAAAAAGAAACGTAACCGAGGAAGCGGAATTCGAGAGGGAATTCGAGCGTGTGTGCAACGGTGCATGGGGTGCATAGGACGTGCACGCGACTCGCTTCCACGGTTTTCCACGTTTGAACGCCCGCCGCGCGATACCGAGACGAATGATGCACGACCGCGGGAAACCGACAGCAATTCTCACGAATGGCGACCTCCTTCCGGAACTAGTTACGCCAGGATTGAAACGAGACGAAAATTGGCGCGAGTAGTCGCGGCTCTTGGCCAGTGCGTGCCACCGACCCTCCAATTGCTTCCGTCACGATCGAATTTTTCTCGAGGAAATTTCACAAATTTTCCCCCGCGAGTTATTTTCGCCGGATATTTCGATTGATTTTTGTTAGAAAATTATCGGTTCGAGTGTTTCTTTATCGGTTTCTCGAATTGATAAAAAATTAAGGAACGGAATTACGAATTTCGAATATGGAGGAATAAAATGTATTCTCTATTAATATATCTAAGAAAGAGGTAACGAGGAATATTTTTTTAAATTTGTGTTGCATTTTATGCAATACAATTTAAATTTTAATCGAATAAGATTCTCCAAATTTTCCAAACTTTCTATTGATTAGTAAAATAATTCTTGATCAAACTATTAATTAAAATAGTTTGAAGGATATACAAGTCCTTTACTATAAATAAATTATCAAAAGATATTTTTCCAACTTACCAAAAACAATCAAAGAATCCGATCATTAACATTTGTACGAAAGACAAAACATCCCAATTGAATAATTCATACGTAATTAAATTTAACTATTTCTCCTAATCTTCAAGAAAATCCAAACTTCTTTCATCTCGCGTCGAAAAGAATTAATTAATTTCCAAGGTGAGAGTCGAAATCGAAATCAAAGAAACACTCGACCGTGCAAGTACGATCTCCCATCGATGAACGAATAAATAAAAAGTGATAAGGGGATAAAATAGAGGAATGAAGAGAAGGAGGAGAGGAACGGAAGAAAAAGAACGAAAGGAGAGGGGAAAAAAAAGAAACGCACCATGAACGGTTCGATTTGCATGGTGAACGCGGTGGCGAGGGCGGAGGAAAAAACGCGGGCGGAAAAATCGCATCGACGTTGGCGACGCGGAAAAAAGGGGGCGAAAAAAGCGCGATTCCGGCGGGCGTGGCGAGCAAAAAAAGAACGACACACCGTGTATTGTGTAGAACGAGGCCGATGGTGGAGCGGCGAAAGGCGAAAAAAGAGAGGCGATGGGTTGCATAAAAACACCGGCTATGAAATGCAAAATCAGCACACGCTCATGCGTGGCTGTGTTTCGCGTACAAGCGGGTGGAAAATCGATACGATCGGCCACGAGTCATGATCTGACACGGTTCGATTCTTCGTCCTTTGCCTCTTGGTCAATTTTATCCTTTGTTTTTTCCGAGTGGGTGCCGATGTGTCGTGGAAAAGAAGGAGTCGTAGCCATTCGTATCGATTTCGTGTACTTGTACGGAATATAGGTCGATTATAGGTAGATGTCTGAAAATTTAAGGGATGATTCTTCAAATAAGAAGATGAATGAAGAATAAAATAATTGCATTTTGCATTGTTCCTTAATTATTGATCGTCAAACATCGATGAAAATGTATCTGGCTGCAAACTTCTTTATACGAATGTCAAGTTCAAAAATCGTATTGTTCTTTGTAATTTCTATTTCGTTGAGTGCTTTTTATTATATTTCTTACTGTTTGATCCATTTATTTATGGAAGGGGAATTGTTGAAAGATTCTATTCTCTTTTTGTACTTTTTTAATTGTCGAAAACGAAATTTTTTTATTTTTGATTTTCGAATCGAAGAATCATCTCTTAAATTCATGGACATCTGTCCAATTTACTCGTGGCGCCTTTTGTGGCGCTTTCAACTTCAAATTTGGACGTAGAAATGATTCTTTCTTTTCTGAAAGAGTTATAGATTTTAGAAATCATTTTATATAGATTTTTTATCTTGTTAATTATGATTATTTGTTTTTGTATCCGAAGGATTTTTGTTTACTTATACATTATGTTTCGTGATTTCTCTATTATAGAGTGAAATAGAGAATAAGAGAATTAAGATTTGTTATAATTGAAAATGATTTTCGATTTTGTTAACTCGAATGATACATTTGCTTAAATTTAATATTACCGTTTAATTATAATAGCGAGAAAGAGATATTTGTAATTAAGTTTGAATATTATGATGAACGTAGGTATATAAATAATAATTCTTTCGATTTAAAATTTATTGAATATCTATTTAACTACAATAATAACTTTAAAAATTATATAGCTCAGTTATAATCAATTATAAATTGTAGTTAAAATTGCATTTCTAATAAGTTTACGTTTATCATCATTTTACATACAAATTTATCATAAAAAAAAATATACTCAATTGTTAACCATTAAAAAAACAACATAAACAAAATCACAATTATATCAAATCTCATTCAAATCAATAATTACATCAATAATTACATCAATAATTACATCAATACCACCCCATAATCATTCAAGAACCATTTCTTTGTTTCCAACGATCGATCTTGTTCGATCACGAAGCTTTGGACACGCGCACATGTGTCCATATATACTAAACGTGTACGTGTATCGTATGCAAGCGGATGCACTAAATGGAACAGATCGAGGGTGAGCGAAAAAATGTTGCGACTCGTGAGAAGGAAGCGCATGAAAGAGTTAGAGAGAACAGGGTATATGAAGAGAGGCAGAAAGAATGAAGTATACAGCAGTGAGATGAAAGAAGAGAGACAGAAGAAAGAAGTTGTTCGATCATGTCTGCGAATATGACACATGTACCAAAACGATATTACATATTTTTGTAATAAGTGTAATATGAATGAGATATATAAACGTATGTACATTATGTATATGTATATATATATATAATGAAAGATATAGTGAGAGCGTGAAAAAGAGAGAGATAGAAAGAGAGAAATGGAAGAAAGAGAAAAACTAGAGAAAAAGCTGGCGGCGAATTACCTTGAAGGACTGCACAGAGAAACCAGAAACCAGGGGTTGGTCCGTAACATAAGAAGCGAACAGAAAACAGAAAAAAGGTAAACTTGTAATTAGGTCGTTCGCTGTAAGAGACACTGCTGTGATATGAGAAAAGATCGGTTCGTTCATCGTGGCTGATAAGGATAAAACTTGGACGCCTCGATAATTCTTAATCCTTTCGAGTCACGTTTTTACTCGCGTTCGTCCATTCTTGCTCGTGTGTTATTCGTTTGCTTTTTTCAATTTTCTTTTTCTCTTCCTTTTGAATTTGATTCATCCTTTTGCACTCGAAGAGAAAAATTACGAATAAACGAGCAAGAAGAACGCCAGTAAATCGTTGTCTGCATAGATTCAAGCGCTTGCAAGAGTAAGTTGGTTCTGCGTGGTGCAAGAAGGGATAGAGAGTCTCTTCGTGTTTTTTTTTTAAATTTTTTTTTCTGTCGATGGATCCAATGTGTGCTACGGGATGCTGCAAAAATTCTTGCCATATCAAAAGGTTGTGACGCTTGTTACGTAGTAATAATTGATGATCGAGAGAAATTATTCGTGTTATGTTTTTTATATAGAGGATTTGTACGAGTCGGATGATAGTTTTATAAAATAATAGACAGATAGGTTTATAAAATAAAGTAGTCAAAGATCGAGTTGAAATTGAAGGAAATAATTGCTCTCGATAATAAGATAATATTTTCATCAGTTGAAATTTTCAAAATTAATCGAAAGGAAATTGAAAGCTTAAAAATCGAAGAAAACTAATTCGAATCTTCAAAATTATATTTCTATTAATTGAACTTATTGCAAATTGATGAAATAGACTGATGAAAATTGTTTCGCTCATAAATATCAAATAGATATCAATACGGATCTAAAAATGATATTTGTGAGCTTGAAAAATTTCAAAAATAAGGGAGAATATCGAGGTGTTATAATAAAAATTATCGTGAGTCAAATGTGAAAGTGGAAGTCGATCGCAATCAACTTGAAAATTTCTTTTTTCTGTGTAAACACTGTCTTAAAATTAATAATATTTTTTCGTCAATGGCCACGATAAAATGCTCGTTTTAAAAATGTTTTGACTTCTTCAGGATCGTTATTTCCACTCGGTGGCACTCGGTTTTGTCCGGCTGACAAATATAAAATTCTCTCACGAATTTGATGTATACCAAAACGTTTGGAGTAAGCTCGTTTTCGTTTCGCCTGATGGGCTGACAATTAATTATCGTCTATGATTTTGCAAATGTCAACGTGTCGGTCATATCTGGCGACGGTTCCACCTACTGAACACGACATACGGATGCATTTGATGTGTCAATTGCACGGGTGTACACGCCATAAACAAATACTGATGCACCTGTGTGGAAGCGAATAAATTGCGCACGATAATCGAGTTCGCTTGGTTACTGAGGAGTATTTCCTGAAAACGGAAACCTTTTTGCTAGAAATGGTATATATATATATATGTATACGTACGTTCTGAAATATCATATTATTTTAATAACACAGGACAATTTTTATTTTATTACTTATTAATCACTCCGTAATTAATTCTAAAATAATATATTAGAATCTTTCTCTTATCTCAATAGGAGTTAATTTCGTTTGTTTATTGGAAAATTATTGCAAATATAAAAAAAATTCACTTCAATCTTTTTCTTTTTTTTTTTTTAATTTTTAGAATTGTCAAATAACTGTATTTTTTCAGTCTCAATACGATGTCATATAGACGGAAGAACATTTGAACATTTGATTATGTAGTTCGAAAGTAGGAATTTGATAATAATATAAATATGCGAAATATAATTAAAAGATTTCAATGTATCATTTGTGTTATAAAGTTTTTGAATCGTTATAAAATTGAAATAAGAGCTTTTTTATTGTATCTCCAATATATCGAGTATCATTCAAATATGTTATGAAATTATTCTTTTTCAAAAGAATACTTTAATCCGGCTAAAATTGAAATATATTTCATATTAATATTATATAATCTCCATTTTAGGTGTATAATATCACGATAATACATAATTAATGCATAATATTCGATGAAGCAATAAAAATGCAATATCGAGTTAACGCAGAAATTTCCTATACGCTTTCCTATATATATGTTTTCACGTTTCCCTTTCCCAATTGGAAATACAAATATCGAAAGAAAGGAGGGTTTTTCGCGAGTTCACAATGTGTATCACGAAACGTCGATCTTCTTCGGTTGCATCACCATCTGTTTGGTAATGCAATTCAGATGTTGCTTTGGAAAATGAAGGAGAGACGAGAGAGTGCAGTTGCAAGCAAGATACACGTTTCATTGTGCGTCGATGTAATTCGATTTCGTACGTGATTTCATCGGATACAAGTTTCATGGTTGCGGGAGCAAATCCCTCTTCCACATTTTCTCAACGAAACATCAGTACCTTGTTTCTTCCGTCTATATGACATCGTATTGAGACTGAAAAAATATGGTTATTTGACAATTCTAAAAATTTAAAAAAAAAAAAAGATTGAAGTGAATTTTTTTTATTAAAATTCTTCAATACTTTCTCTGAATTTTTAATAGGGCAAATGATAGGCTAATTAGTGAAATTAATTATCATAAATCGTACAGCTTAATTATTTTCCCGATCTTTAGAAATAATAGATCTCTAATAGGAATAATTAAAAGAAATTATTATTTCATTATTGTCGTATTCTATTTTATTTTTATTCTATCATAAAAATAGGAATTATTGCTTCAAAATCCAACTATCTCCAAGACAAATTTATTATCTTCATTATCCATTCGTTGTACGCTCGATAAAACATTTCAAAATCTATACAAAATTCACTTGACTGCAATCAATAATCAAATATAACGAGAGTCATTCAATTACACGTATCGAATTATTAACAATCGTTAAACATTTTTCTCAAAAAAATTTTTCGAGTAGAACAATTTAACGATTAAAAAAATTATTAGCCGAACAAAACCCCCGATCTAACTAATCGATCAAACTAAACAACGCAATCAAAACAACTCGATCCATTATATGTTAAATTTTTAATTCTTTTCTCGAAATCTGCTCGAGAGGGAGATAGGAACTCATTTATTTTTAAGGGACGGAAGCGTTCCGTCTGCACGGGGTCAAAGGAGAGATTACATTTCGAGCACGTTCGCGGTTCTCCGAGTCGAATCGTTATTATTCACGGGGGTAAAAGTCATTCGTCGGGTGTAATCGGGGGAACGGCGTCAGGTGCGCGTTCCAGTTTCTTCGGTAATCACGACCGATTCAGTGAATCGCACGTTATCAGTGCACGCGTGATTGCAAATTCATGCACGTAAGGTGTCGAAGACAGCGCGCGCCAAGAACCAAGAAAATCCCCTTTCGCGTCATTAAAGAATATCTTGCAAGTTTGCGAACCGATCGACCGAGTTCGTATTCGATCGGCAAAGTTCGGATGGTTCGGATGGTTGGCGATAACTTGGAATTATTCTTCTCGCATCGAGCAAGAAATATATTCATTGGATTCTTAGTGCATGTGGCGTAAGGGCAATTGCTTCTTTTTTTTTTCGTGGAAAAATACTTTGTTTTATTTTCTTGAAGGAAATAATTTTGGAATTGGTTTGAAATTAACAATTGATTTTGAATAATAAGATAATTGATCGAAGAGTATATAGATTGTTCTTGAGTATTTTTAAGGGTAAGAATTTATTTTGATTGGTTTTGATTATTATGTATCGTTGAGTGGATTACTTAAAACTTTGGATAGATACTGATTGCAATTAATAATTAAGGAGAAGGTTAAATTGATAAGTTGAAAATTAATTAATGATTCATTAGTTCATTTTGGAATTATAATGCTTCTTCAAAGTAAAATTTTATCTGAAAATCAATGACAATTAAATGAAATCTGGGAAAATTTAAATTAAATTTAATTAATCGAGATGATGGAAGCTTAATTATTTTCGATTTACTAATTATTCGTTTTACTAATTATATTATTATCCAATTACTTATGTATTGTTGTAAAATATATTTATCCTCAATATTAATTGCAAAATTGATTTCATAATTAATGAAACGAATTGAAAAAAGTATCTTTTATCAAAATCAATTTGTTTTATATTTTTAACTCGAATCTATCCATGTAATTTCTCTTATCATAATAACATGTTTCAATTGTACAATAGATTTTCATCTCATTTACAACACATTATTATTCTTTACCTATTAGTAAAATTCTATTGAAACACAAATAGATGTACGCGTAAAAAATATGAATTCGAATATATATTTTATCAAAAAAAAAAAATAATATTCCGGTTGCCAAAAACAAATCCTAGTTTTTCCTGTTCGGTTCAATTTACTTTTCCGATATAACAAAAAAAAAACAAAAACAAAAACAAATACCAGATCGAATCATCCCCTTCCAATTGTCCAAAATTATTTGCTTCAACTCTCGCAAAAGATTGATTCAAAGAAAGAAAAAAAAGGGAAAAAAAAAGAAAATGAAAATAAATACTTTATCAAATCACTCCCTTCCAAAATGATTTATTCCAAGTCCGGCGAAAAAAGCTCGTTCCAAAAGAAAAAAAATACTCGATCAAATCGTCCCCTTCCGTTCCTCCAAATTGATTTACTCCAAGCCTCGCGGAAAGAGGGTCGAGAAAATCGTGGGGCCGAAATCTCGAGTATATCGTGGCAACAACGTTTGAGAAATGAAAACTCGTAATAACATCGGGAATCGCGTCGTTTCGTAAAAATTGTTTTTATAGGAACGGCCGAATGCACGCGTTGCAAGCGACAGGGACGAATGAACGGGGGAAGGGGGCGAAGGTGGCCAACGAAGTCGCGGCATAATGCGCGGTTTACGCGATCCTCCTTTAATTATTTCGCCAGATGGTTCCGTGGAGGATAAGGTAACGATTTAAGCGGGGGGAGGGTTTTAAATGGCAGACGGGAAAATTTAAAAGGCCGTGGTGGCCGCAAGGTCGGCAATTTGCGTTGGTTCCGTCT